GATTATCCCAATTTAAAATAAATTTATTTTCTATTGTCATCAGTGTTGTATATTGCGCAAGATATACAAGATATTTCTACTTTAAGATCTATTTTTGTCGACATAACGGAATCGCGAAGATAAAAGTTCTTTTTTTCATTCTCGTATTTTTGTACTTCGTTTTATTTTCGAAATAGAAATTGTGCAAGATTGGCACTGAAATTGAAAGTAATCGCATATATGAAAGAGTGCTATCGGATTTGTGTATAAATGGTATCTATACGACGCATACGATCTGTACAGTTACAAACAATGCAATTAGTTGCAAATCAAAATGTATTGCGCATTAATCTTAGATTTCTGTTCTTACTTGTGACTACACTGAGCATATTGCACTGAAGCTAGTGGAGTAATTTACGTTTATGAAAGATGCATGTCACAAACAAAGTTATGCCTTCCGCAAGCTTCCATAATACATACATTTTATATAACGTTTTATGGACAGAGAATTATGGTAATCGTAAACAATGTTTTTTTATCAGTTTTGTGTATCGAGATATAAAAGTTCAATGTGTGATTGTTATAAAAATGATCGATTTTATTGCGTTTATTTTTATTATTAATTTTATAATCAAATATATATAATTTTAAATTGAGTTTCTCACTTTCTAATCAGAGTAAGTTTGAAGACTCTCTTTTACGGAAATGCACTGAGCACCGCGAGTGATGATGTAATTAACTTATACTGGCATAAATTTGATAGTAGGCGGCTGTTAAATCGGTCCCGAAAGACAAAGTTCCTCTGCGTAGCAGCAGAATAAATCTACTTCAGCGAGATATATATGTTTTCGTTACGTGCGATGGATGTATTCTGAGAGCATGTGTTAAATTTAGAATAACTGAAATCTTGTTTACACTTCTATCATAGGAGATATTTTTGCAAATTAAAAGTTAGTAAATATTGTTGTTTTTAAACTTGTTTTTAAAAAATGTATAAATATTATGTTTAATATCAAATATCACAGCGTGAATAAAATTTTATTTTCTCAAATTATCAAATTTTATTTTGTATTATCGCATAATTATTTTAGATATACTGCAGATAAATTGCATTTTATTGCAATCGAGAAAAAGCGCGTGAAAGATTATTCGAGTGATAAATGATACGGAAGTTATCATCACGTACAAAAAGCCTGTCAGTCAGTCAGTCAACCTGTCAGTTTATGCTTACTTATCTGCATTACAATCAGCAGATATCGTAAATCAAGTTTATATGTGGCAGAAATAAATTGTATTTTGAAAATGTGATTTGATTTTTGTAGATATGGCGGAAACTTCTTTTTGATAGGAGATGTCGATTAATTATTTATGGATAATAGGGGAGGGGTGTGTGTGTGGTGGCGTTCACCTAAGAAAAATTATTAATATTTTCTTCTTAAATTAATTTTTTATCAAATTTGTTGAAAAATTATATAATATAGGATTATAGCTTTCAATAAAATCATTAAAATAATTATTAAAATATTAAATTTTATTTATCGATGTAAAAAATAAAATAATTTTGATCGGTGTAGCCTACCTGTGTCGGTTCAGGACGATCAGGCTGCGGGTTATGGTAATCACGATGGGGTCATGACGATTGAGTCTATCTTGATTATGCATTTCAGGTGCGGGTCATGATAATCAATTTTGTTACTTTATTGTGTTGAAAAAAATTTGTTTATTAAACTCTTTTTTAATATTTTAATAACATTTTAAATTATTATTAATATATTATTAGAACATTAGAACATTATTAGAACAGAATATTATTATTATTAATAATAATATTATTAATTATTTATTATTAATAATATTATTAATTTTTTATTATTTTTTCAAATAAACTTAACAATTAATGTAATAGGTAATAACGTAAGACCACCTACGTAAGTAGATAATGACAGTATGTGACATAACCTTCTCCGCACGCCCGAGCGCCGCGATCCGCACTCCGTGATTCTCATGACCCCGATTGCTTGCATAGTTGAAAAAGTACGAGAAAATAAAAAAACATGGATAATTATGTTTCATTTTTTGTTATATGAAAGCTTTAAACAACCAGATTACAAGTAACCATAAAGTACGGTATGCATGAGAATTTAAGTATGCTAAAAACCTTATTATAATATCATTATTTCTTATATGAATTATCACTGAAAATTTTTCGTCAAATGTATCTTTTTTGTAATTATTCGTATATGCATAATAATGTAATATTTTAGATGAATTTTATATGAAGTAAAAGTTTAGATAAAAAGTAATATATATTATTCTTTAAAATTCTCATAATTAAGATGATTGGTCCGACCCGCTGAGCATTATGACCCCGCTCTCCCCTACTCTTACACAGCTTTCATAAAACACTTGTAAAAAATTTTATCATTAATCAGTGTAATTAAAACATACGGAAGATATTTTGTAATATTGTTATTTATCTTTATCACGTTCTCCCTCTTTAAATTCTCTTTTTATTCACTTTGTTTTAATACGACTAGTTTGTGGTAGTAGAATCACACAGGTCATCGCAAATTTTTTTATTTATTTACAAGCTATTTGTTTTTATTCTATTAGTCTATATATTTACAAGTTTATTTACTTTTATCTAAAACAAAGTTCTGTGTTTCAATAAACGATTCTAAAAAAAGATAAAGGAATATCGACTTTTTATATACTATGTTAAAAACTACATTAAAAACTATATTAATAAAGATATACAAAAAAAGTGTCAGATTTTATTAGTAAAAATGGTTTATCGCATCTAGTTTTTTCACTCAATGTGGTTAAATTAGAATTGGAAACTTTCTTGTGTTCCATATTGTAAATTTAGATTGATTACGTTTTTTGCGTACGTATATGCATAGATTTCAATGAAAATCATGGTAAAAGAAATAAACACAAAATATAATTATATTTAACAATTATTAATAATAATACTAAAATTCCTCTAAATTAACAATAAATATTAGGAGAAAAAGGCGAAAAGATGTTCTTGATGACAAGTAATTTCAACGAAAAACTCTTTTCCATATAGCAAGATTGGTAAATTGGCATTGTTTTTATTCCGAAACTGTATCTGTCCGATACAGAATCATGGAAGAGTCAGAGACCAAAATTATTCAACAAAATGTCTTCGTAATGGATGCAGAGTTTCTTAAAATTCTTAGAGTCCATGATTAAAACTGTAGACAGGGTGATTCAAAATAACCTGATGTCCTTGCAATGCCATATTCTTGAGCGAATTCTGAGACGATTTTTCCTTTTACAAAATTTTGTCCGAAGCTTAGTTTTCGAGTTATAATTGAAAATAAGTAGCAACTTACGAGTTCGGTACAACGGGCAGGCAGGGACGCGCAACGTATAATGAGACTGTCAAGTGTTTACTATCGTCTCATGACGCATTGCACCGTCTCTGCCTGTCCATTGTATCGGACTCGTAAGTAGCAAATTATTTTCAATTAGAACTCAAAAACTAAGCTTCAGACAAAATTTTGTAAAAGGAAAAATCATCTCAGAATTCGCTCAAGAATATGGCATTGCAAGGACATCAGGTTATTTTGAATCACCCTGTAGTTAAAAGTCGGATGGTTAAAATATTTTAATCATCCGACTTTTGTTAGTTTAACTTTATCTGCAGAAATATTTTAACCATCCAACTTACTTTAACTATATCTGTAGTTTTAATCATGGACTCTACGAATTTTAAAAAACTCTCCATGCATTACGAAGGCATTCTGTTGAATAATATTGGTCTTTAACTCTTCCATGGTTCTGTATCGGACATACAGTTTCGGAATAAAAACAATACCAATTTACCAATCTTACTATATGGAAAAGAGTTTTTCGTTGAAATTACTTGTCATCAAGAACATCTTGCGTATATCGTCTTATTTGTTTGTCAGGCGCTTCGACATTTGTGAAACCGTTTATTATAATTTTTATTTGTAACGACACTGATGAAGGCCTAGCATAGGCAGAAACATTTGTCTTTGTAATTTTATAATATAAAACATTCCACAAACAACTTGCAACTCTTTTCGCCTTTTTCTCCTAATATTGATTGATAATCATATTTTTTTATGAAAGTTTAATCCTTTATTAGTAAAAGTTTAATCCTTTATTAGTAAAATTTGCGTTCAATTTATATAAAAGTTTTGATGCGTCAGCATACAAACCAGATAGAAATTGTAATTCCAACGAAATATATTACGAATATATAATGTATAAACAACATATTCAAGCGATACATATAACGGAAAGAAGATTTATATTAAAATATAAAAAGAATGTATATTAAGGTTTGTTAATGATTTGCAATTTTATCTAATCAACTAGTTAAGAAATTTTCTTCATATATAATAATTAGCATATTATTGCCTCAACTCTATCTATTTATGATGTAGATACTTTTTAAGTCTAATATGAATGTACATTACTGAGTAACACGAAAGTTTTCCCTATCTCGTATCTCACTTTTCGTTACCGACCTACCTATCTTATATACGACTAAAGTAGTGTTATTTATGATACGAGCTTTTTAACCTTTTAAACTTACTTGATAAAGTTTTTAGCACATCAATATCGTTCGAAGCTATTGTACTACACTTAAAAATTAAGGTAAAACATTATACCGTTGTATTCTTTTTATTAACTGTTTGTAATGCATATACCCGCATTATGTTACTTATCAATATCTATGTACTATGATATTGCTTGTGGATGAGCGTAATAACGATTTTCTCTGAACCTCAAAGGACTATTTACATTCTGAGGAAGAACGATGCAACGTAATATTAGAAGTTTGCCGTTCCGCATGTGATATGTCGTCACGTGTACAAAAGTACAGCCATACATTGCGGTTCTTAATAAATATTATGACAACGTGATATTTAATATTATACACGTTAATTAAAAAGAAAATGGATATCAATGATCTTATAATTTTCATACACTTATAATTTGTTTTTTACTTTTTGTTGCAGCTCATCGGCGAATGCGCACCGTCACTAATTACTTCTTGGTGAATCTCTCCGTAGCGGATCTTATGATGTCATTGCTCAACTGCGCCTTCAACTTTATCTTCCTCCTCAACTCTAATTGGCCCTTCGGAGTAGTGTATTGCACCATCAACAACTTTGTAGCACACGTGACTGTCGCATCGAGCGTTTTTACTCTCGTTGTAATTTCATTTGACAGGTAAGTTTTCATTGGAAAATTCCTTCACACATCTTTTCTTGCATTGTGTTTCTTATACCTTCTACAATACGAAGCCAAAAGAGTAATATTGTCGCATTTCGGTTCGATCCTGGCCCACTCAGTCATCGAAGAATGTTAGACAATTTATTATGGTCTCTTTAAAGTACAGAAACCATTTAGTTGTTATAGTTTTTTTATGAAGCCCATTCAATGACAAATCAATTTAAAATTTTATTTAAAATCGTATTTTTAATTTTAATAAAAAATAAAATATCCACTTTATATAATAAAGAAAATAAATAGTCTATTAAGATTAAGATTTTGTGATTAATCATTAAAGGTAAAAAGATTCAGTTTTATATTATACTTTCAACAAAACAATGTATTTTTAATAAAATTGAACAAAATGTTATATAAAATATTTTCTTATGTAAAAAACATAACATTATTGTAATCTCAACGAATAGATACAATCAATGTTTATATATAAAAAGCGTGTAACTTTATTTTGCGTGTATATATTTATTTTAGGTAAGATTGATTTATGTATTAATTTAGGTAAGATAAGATGGGTTTATTTTGGTGCTCCAGATACTTTTTCTAAAATTATAGACTTTACTTCGCCACGTTAAAATGGGTACAATTTAATTTCTTTTTCTTTATCGATTTTTTTTGTGCGTGATAAAACAATCGTTTGGCCGTGTCGATACACAAAACTTTACGCTTAATCCTAAAATACGTCGAGAAAATGAAGACATACGAACTCTTGCTACCATAAATTCTTTTTAATGGTGACATGCGATGGAAAAGCTACCATTGCGTTAAAACCGCCGCAAAGGAAATGCTCTCGCACCATTGCGATTTGACTTGGTGTCATTTGTATGCAATCGATATCGTGTGCAATCCCCGGCAGAGATAGTCAAATGTAGTGGATCGCACCATTTCACATGTTTATTTGGGAAGCGAATAAGGTGTGCCGTAAATGCACATTTCATGTGCGGTGAATCAGTGAATCGGTCTTCTTCTTTTTCTATCTCATGTTGTTCTATTTTTATTATTTCGTTTTACTATCTTTTCACACATTCTGTTCTTTACAAAAATAGCGATATACTTAATAAAAATATCGTTTTAAATTTAAAAATTGTTCCAAGTAGTACTAATAATCGTAATATAAAATAAAACTACTCTAAGTTACATCAAATATTTCTTTTTTCACATGCGATTTTTTTTTAAGTCGAATAAAATATAGAAACATGTTATTTGTCGAACGTGAGAAATTCGATGATACACATGCTTCTAGCCAAACATGATGTTATTTCACACGCGTTGCTTACATTCCATTTATTCGATATCTAAATTTTTCTTTTATATTTTATGATATTTTTCCCTTTTCTTTCACTGGTTTCTCTTGTATGTCCTTAATGTTTCTTCTGTTTATAATTAGCCAAGTTTTATCAACATTCTTATTATGTTTATGTATTATTACATGGCTTATACTGGTCTCTCTATATCTCACTTTTTATATCATTGTTCCTGAATGGGATTAAATTCTAATAGTTTTCGAAGGCGTCTTTACGCGTATGGTCGTTAATTTAAAAAAATTTTAAGTTTACACTAATTGTAAGTCAATTTATCGATCTACTTTTGAAGAACCTTATTCAGGCAATAATATTGAGACCCAAACTGCTCTTCGCATATTATATTTTCATTTATTATATAATGCATTAATGGTTTAAACAATGTGTGTATTTAATAACTACTGTATTCTATTATTTTTATATTTTTCTGATATTTTAATATCATATTTTATTAAAAATATATGACCATTTTAGTAACGGTAAATAATACAATAATTTAACAGATTTAAATTTTTACCATTAACTACAATTTTAAATGAATATTGAATTTTAACTTCTCTTAAATTCAATTTTTACATCTCAATTTATTATGCTATTTAATCATGAAATAATATTTTGACAAAAAATTAGCACAAGAGAACGAAAAAAAAAACATTTTTACACATTTAATGCATAATTTAGTTTTACACGATAAGCTATATATAACTGGCTGTTGCAGATTCCCTGTTATTAAAAATACGTAATATTTTATCTCAAATAAAAGAGAAAATACAAATTAAATTTTCTGTAAATAAAATTTTTCTGCATCTTTTGTTTCTTTCTACGTAAACATTAATCAAAACTTGATAATGCTGATTATCCATTGTATACAAATTACGTCATACGAACAAAAATTAATGTATTATCTTGCAATTAATTATGCGTATCAAATTTTATAATTAATATGTAGATATTAAATATAAACCATTTTTTATTGATATCAATATTGTAATACAATTTCCTCAAAATGTATACAATATTATATATTAGTATATTATGATACTATCATATGTTTTTCGTATATTACGTCATTAATATTGAAAAATCTGTTCTAGTATTCACATAATAAACATCGAATAAAAATAAGAAAAAGTTATTTGCGTTGAAAATCATATAATTATATCGCAAATCGTTGGTTGATTGAATAACCAATCATTCATTATATTACCCTTTATTTTGCAATTAATTGGAAAACACAACATTAATATGTATTTGAAAAACATGAATTGAATATATCTTGTGTGCAGAAATCACGCGTTACAAACAGCTTTGTACGATCATTAATTCACAACTGCGGATACATATGTACAAATTCAACAAAGAAGACTTTTGGGATTTGTGTGTGTCATATGTGGAGCTAAAAAGATAGAAGTCACAAATGTACACTTCTAGGTAACAATATTAATGTGTGTGTAGATAACGATACCTAGCATTATTAATCAATGTCTGCGGTGTACCCATGCAATGGATAGCGTTTACGCTCAGCACGATTGAATTAATCAACAACTCAAGGTGAAGTTTTTATTAACAAAAATGCTAGTGGTAAAGCAGTGGTAAAGCAATATCCCTATACTGTAAAAACATAAAAATTTTACAAACGTGGAAAGATAATTAGTGCTGCTAAAATAGCGATTTTTTAAATGAAAAATGCCTTTTGTAAATTATGTTCTCAGTTTTTTATTACATATCCTTTATACTTTATTATAGTAATATAACATGTATAATTATTCAGCAAATTAAAATTAACATAATATCGGGATTTGGTTTTTCAATAGTATTTAATTTTTAATTTGATATTTATCTGCTGATATATTTAAAGCTGTATAAAAACATTAAAAGTTGACGGAAAAATGTCACATTAAATTTAGCTTTGTTAATTAATTTTCGGTGAATTAAAAAGTATTTAGATGTGAATCCTTACCATATTATTATTGCATTGCATTGATATTTTAAATTTATATAATAATATACGCAAAAATTCAACATAAGAAGTCATACATAGCCGATTTCCCCATCTTTCTTTGTAAAGGACAGAGGTTACACACTCCTCACGATCGAGGATTCTGAAGAAGAGATAAGCTAAGAATTCATGTCCATTGGTTATTCCATATCTTTCGACTTTCGACGCAGTTAGTCTGAAGGCCATAGATTGCTATCCGATTTCTTTTCAGAATGGTTTTCACACATTTATATAATATATAAGAAAGAAAAGATATATCATTTTTCCTCCTTATTAATTTTGTTCTAATTTTTATTATATCTTGGTCAATTTATTGTCTGACTCACATAATTTATTTTAACTTTCAGTAATTTAAAAAATAGTTTAAGAAACATATTTCCCGTAAAAAGTATATTATCTCTTTTTGTGAACGTAGATATCTTGCGAATTAATTTAACTTTACTTCTCTTCGAAAGTTATGCACGAAACCTTTGCAAACATGTGCAAGTATGTTTTTACAATACAGTAAATCTAATTTTCTTTCTTTTTTCAGTTTGCAAAGAATAAAGTAAAGTAAATAAAAATTTGATAGAAACTGCGAATAAACTATAAAGAGCAATAAAGTGATTGAAATTACTATATTTTTTTATGTACAGAAAAATAGCATACCGGAAAACTATAAAATGTTTTAAAATTTTTAGTGTGATAAAAATCTTTGAATTATATAAAATTTTCTTAGCAAAAAATTTTTAAGCAATCTTTATGTTTTCAATGACCGATGTTAAAATTGCTGCAGTATCTTGTTAGATATACGTAAGTTACATAAAGTTTTTTGGATGACCGCGTATAATAGTTTATCAAGGAAAACGACTAAATTATATGTAACAAAAGTTGAACGTTATATTTGATTTATTCCAAGAAACTTTCTGGAACATCTCTATATCATGACCTTACGAACGTATTGGATATCTAACTTATATTTGGTACGATATTTTATCGCGATAACTACCAGCATTACTTCTATCTTCATTTATGCATGTAAAACGTTTAATGGCCTGAAAATATATGTGACATAGTTACAATCTTAGTTAGTATTTTTATGGAAATTATTTTATAGTGGAAATTTTATATTTATCCAATAAATATAATATATTTTGTAATATATTTTTACAAGCACATTCGATGTTTGTAACATATGCCACATAGAAATAATATTTGCGTCTACAACAATAATTTATTTTTTTATTGCGTACACTCGAATTCTATATGTTATAAAATTTTTTTAGACTGAAAAGTTCCTTTTATAACTCAATTGTCCATTAGAATGCAATTGCATGTAATGCAATTTAATGCATGTTAATGCTGGTAAAAAGAAAACAACTATCATAGTTTATAATAAAGCTTTTATCGTTGAAAAGAAAAATTGTTTACATGTTGCTAAATTTCACTGCTACTGTAACTGTCAACTAATTACGTATGATAAAACGTAACGGCGAGAGAATTCTAAAGTTCCACACTTAAATTATTTAACGGTAAATTAACTGTACGCTGGAAATTGAAGCAGAAGTTCTGCGAACTTTGGGGATAGAAATGTGTTTGGAGGTGAATATAACGAATGCTAATTGGTGTAGGAGGATCAGAATTAACTTTTGAGATTGTTATTA